ACCCAGGTTCGTTGAAACACTGTTTACATTAGAAAGAAGAGGGAAACCCCCTATTCCCATCCATAGAAGAAGGGATAAAGACACTCTGGTACATGTGCATAATGGAATACCAAACATGGCTTTGGAAAAAATTAAAAAGGAGGAAACCCCAGAACACCCCACAGCATGCATGGGCCTGTAGAACATTACACTGAGTGAAATCAGCCAGTCACAAGAGAGAAAATATTATATGAGATCAATGATGCAGGGAGGGAAAAAATAAGAGAAAGATTTTTACACCAAAATAACTGACGTTGGACATTGCCAAGTGAGGAGGGCAGAGGAGGGTCAGTAAAGCAATAGGCTAGACAGTTGGCCGAAGTATATTGACACTGTTCCGGGAAGCACGGGTTTATTTGAAGCAAAAGGTACTTACACATGTCTCACTGATCAGTGGATGGCTGCAGACAAATGCTCTCAGTAATGTGCATGTTACAGTCCAAAAGGGGTGCTTTTGTGCCAGGGTAAAAAATGATTTTAAGAGCACAGTTAATATCAATTTTTTTTAACTCACATGGACATCTTTCCACATCGTAGAAGCTTTTCAGCAAGTTTACAAGAAAACTGCCCCACATAAGTCAGCAGGTTTTAGATGACTAAAGCGTTATAAGGAACTTTGGGACGCCCCAGTAGCGAGCCAAGAGAAGGCAGACCATCGGCCTGAGTGCACAAAGAAACTGTAGCTCATGTCCACAAACGGGTGGGAAAGGATCTTAAAGTGACCGTTGATGTGATGGCTACTGACATGGGATCTCACCAGGTGCGGGAGTCTCCATTTTAAAAGTGAGCACCTTGGCCGCAGCTGGTTCGATGGGTGCCAGTGGTGTTGCTTGGTGATCAGAATGCATCTTTCCATCAGTGTGTTAATCAAGAAGGAAGCTATTGGAGAGGATTTTGTGGAATGAACTACAGCTGGGGATAAGCTTGGATTTACCAATATGACAAAAGAACATTCTCATCAAAGCACAGGCTTTCAAGAGGATGGAGGGGGAAGGTGGTGGGGAGAGGTCAGCTCAGGCTATGGAGACTTGTTTAGGGCAGTCCCTAGAGGTCATCTTGATAAATTCCCTTAAAAGGGCACAGGACTCACATGGGGGCTCGTTATGGAAAAGTTTTAAGAAAATGGAAAGTGTCACCACTGAGAAACAGGCCAGGAAATTTGCGCTGAGGAATCGTCTACCACCCCCACCACCCCCATCCCAATGCACCTACCTGCTCGTTCTTCTGGAATAGTAAGGGCTACCCTATGAGAATGTTGTTGGGAGACTCCATCCACACTACAGCCCTGATCTCGCCCCTGGAGACACCTTTTGGTCCCCAAACTCAGAAGACATTTCAGAAGAACACAATTTGAGACCCTGGAGGACACTCAACTGCCTTTTTGATAGGGTCGAAATCACAGTGCAACAGTCTTCAGGGAAGGGTTCAAGAAATGAAAATCCCACCTTCAGAAGTGTCTAGACCTAAATGGAGGATATATTGAGAAGCAATAGCTTCGCATTTTGATATTTTTGTTTCATAAAAGGTTCTACGATTTGGTAGCAGTATTTTTTCACTGATTCTAGTATGTTTACATTTTGCATAAATCATATTGCCTTCTCTAGCATTCATCTTCTTGCTTTGATGATATAATTTTATGGCTGTAACTTTCCCAGGAAAATCAGGAGACCACGTTGACTAGAGAAACAAATCCAGAGATACTTAGATGTATGTAAGAAAGAGCTTTATATCAAAGAGCAATTGTATATTGAGAAAACATTCCAGCAGAGTCCAGATCAAGTCCTTGAGTCCATTATTAGCCCATATGTCCAATACTAGTCCATAAATTCCTCTTTAGACTCATGCAGCCATGCAATGATGCTGAATGCAGGAAGATCACAAGCCAGTGGGTGGAAAGTCCTGTGGATCCAATGGCAGTGGACACATCTCCAGGGCTCTGGCTGCCATCAGCGTGGCTCCATGTGGTGTCAGAAGGAAGGTGAAGCTGAGAGAGAGTGTGTAGCCCTCCTCCAGAAAGAAAGAGAGGAAGTTCGCAGAATCTTCGTGAGAAGGTCACACCCACAAGGAGGCATCATCAGGCTGTGACTTGGTTGACAGGCTAAACTCCACCACTTCCCTCTATTTATCAAGTTGACATGAAATAGTGTAACTACCACACACAATATCATCAACCAATCTTGTCAGTGATGCTTTTAAATCTTTATCTCTCTTTTGTTTTGCTATGAAACTCCAGAATGACTCTGCTTGAGTATACTTCTTTACACATATGACTACAGCTGAAAAACAAATTCCAGAGACCAGTGTATCTTCACTTTAAATTTGTATAAGTGTAAATTGCTCTCCAAAGAAGTGACCCCAATGCATCTTCCTATCCCTACTCCCCAACAACCTCTCTAACTCTGTGGATGGTGAATGTTTTTCTCTTAGATTTGCCTTTATTTTCAGCCATATGCAGTTGAATATCTTTTGTTCATATCATTAATATTTATTTTTCCTTTGATCTGATGTTTAAGATCTTTCCTCATTTCTCTGCAGCACTCTTTTATATATTAATGCAATTAGTTCATTGTCTCTTACAGCCTTTGCCAATATTGTCCCCGCCCACTAACAATACAGTGTTCCCTGCCCCATGATGAATAGCAGCAAAAATGCCCTTTTGGGGTATGAGCTTTCATCACATCTAACCTGCAGGTCGGTGCCGACTGGATGGCACCTAACAATAACAGCAATATATAGCCTCATAGCTTAGCAAAATGCTGACTCTCAAATACTTGAAATCATCCTACCACCACCATCACCCCCTATTTTTAAAAAAACTTTTCAATTTTTTACTAGGCTAAAACCTTTTATCTTTCTATAGTATTTACATCTATTTTTCCTTGTGGCTTCTTATCTTTTAATTAAAGCCCAGCTCTTCCTATGTTAAGAAGTTTTTTGTTTTGTTTGCAATGTTTGGAGATAATTGGTTTTCGGAAGCAGAAGAAACCATGATGAACATGCTTAGCAAATTATTTTCCACCTGGCGTTCAAAGGCGAAGGACTACCTTGCCTGTGTCTGACATCATTACTTCATAGATAGTGGCATCTGAGATCTCAGATAACTGAGTTCTGAAATGTTGACACAGAATTTCTCAGCAATGCTCACTTTCTACCACTATCTTGTACTCTTCAGTCAGGGGGAGGGAGCTACTTGGACTAGTTTTTCCTTCAGCTGTTATATGTCTTCCTCAAAGTGGCATAGCCTATATGATGGGCTCTTAACTTGCTTTGTCAAATCCCTCATGAAAGGTCACCAGACCTCGGTGTCATTCTCTGAGAAATGAAGGTCCTGCATTGATTTGAACAGAACAGGGCTGGGCAACAGAAAGTGCACTGGCGTTTAATAATTACTTCTCCACAAATTCATCTCTATCATGGGTTCATATATCTTCGATGGGCTAGACCTTAGTCCCAATCATGGCTGAATGCCCAGCCACTACCATGGTGCTTCGTACAGATAGGTACAGATAGATTCGTACAACAGCTGTGTTAGGACCCAGTGAATGACTCAATGGAAGCACAAACTAAAGTTTAAAGACTCAGCCCTAGCACTGAGTTGATTTGTGATTTGGTATTTATGAATCTTTCAAGTTTCAGTGCTCCCATCTGAAAACCACTTATAGCTCCCCTCCTGCCTGTCAGGTCTCTGGGTGGCATAATGGGTTTGCACTCCACAATGAAGCTGAAGGTCAGCAGTTCATACCCGCCCAGCTTCACCACAGAAGAAACTCCTAGAGATCTGCTTCCATACACATCTCAAGAAAGTCCGATGGGGCATGGTCTATGGGTTCACATATGCATCCAAATGGATGACGCAGTAATGATAGGCTTGGTGTCCTAACCGTACCATGTGTTTGGTTTGAAAACTAGTACGATGAGAGCCCGAAGGAGACAGTGACAATCCTATCAACATGTAGGTAATGAGTGAATATTGTTTCGTAGGATAAGGAATGTTTGAGATGATACTGACAAGTGCAAAGAGAACAGAGGAAAACAAGGGCTACTCTTACTGTATTATCTTTGTTATTACCAGTGTTGTTATAAAAAAGACAGTGATGGAGTACAAATCTGTCGCTGACAATAAAAAATCATCCAGTGTTCTAACACTTATGCCTTCTCCCATTATTGTGTCCTCTCACTGGCTAATTAACTTTTATGTCCATTATAGACACCTCTTGGTGCTTTGGAAGCTTTATGATCACTTTTAGCTCATAATCGTTCAGACCCAGGAAGATAGATGAGTGCATGGAAGACAGGTAGCTGGGTGGGTGGATGGATGGATGGATGGATGGATGGATGGATGGATGGATGACAAGTAGATAGGTAGGAAGATGGGTGAGTGGGCGAGTGGATGGATGAATAGGTAGATAGGTAGGTAAGTAAGATAGATAGATGATTGATAGATAGATGATAGATAGATAGATAGATAGATAGATAGATAGATAGATAGATGATAGATAGATGTTGATTTTAGGTGCTAGCTGGTTGATTCTAAGTTATAGAGACAAAATAGAATTGCCCTTTAGGCTTTTCTAGGTTTTAATATTTATCTAACCAGATTACCAGGTCTTTCTCCCATGGACTCATTGGACGAGTTTTACCCTCCAACTTCAGTTAGCAGCCAAGTGGTTAACAATTATGCAGCTAGAAATCCTAGAAAAAGAGCTAGAATGATGATAGATAGATCTCTACATATAGATACCTTCAAAATGTTATCAGATTTGAAAATATTGCTAACCTAAAAGAAGCTTTGGGATCCACCATTCAAAATCTGAGTTTGTGAGGAACTGGGGCAGGCAGGCACACTGAACATGTAGGGGGTGGAAGGAGATGCTCAAGAAATATATTTTAAAAGGAAGAAATCAGATGTCTCGTACAGCAGTGTTTATCCCCCTTGTTAATTTTATTCTATTTTCCTGCAGGTTTGCAGGCTGACTTGACCCCTTGACTACTGATCGGAGAAGTCAAAATGAATAACTCAACAAACTCCTCTAGCAGTGGCCTGGCTCTGACCAGCCCTTATAAGACCTTTGAAGTGGTCTTTATTGTCCTGGTGGCTGGATCCCTCAGCTTGGTGACCATCATTGGGAACATCCTGGTCATGGTCTCCATCAAAGTCAACCGCCACCTGCAAACCGTCAACAACTACTTCTTGTTCAGCTTGGCCTGTGCTGACCTTATCATAGGCGTTTTCTCCATGAACTTGTACACCCTTTACACTGTGATTGGCTACTGGCCTTTGGGGCCTGTGGTATGCGACCTCTGGCTAGCCCTGGACTATGTGGTCAGCAATGCCTCCGTTATGAACCTGCTCATCATCAGCTTCGACAGGTACTTCTGCGTCACCAAGCCTCTGACCTACCCCGTCAAGCGGACCACGAAAATGGCAGGGATGATGATTGCTGCTGCCTGGGTCCTCTCCTTCATCCTGTGGGCCCCAGCCATCCTCTTCTGGCAGTTCATCGTAGGGGTGAGAACTGTGAAGGACGGCGAATGCTACATCCAGTTTTTTTCCAATGCCGCCGTCACCTTTGGCACGGCCATCGCAGCCTTCTACCTGCCAGTGATCATCATGACGGTGCTGTACTGGCACATCTCCCGAGCCAGCAAGAGCAGGATAAAGAAGGACAAGAAAGAGCCCGTGGCCAACCAAGATCCAGTTTCTCCAAGCCTGGTGCAGGGGAGAATAGTGAAGGCAACCAACAACAACACGCCCAATAGTGGCGGTGGCCTGGAGCCTAGCAAAATCCAGAACGGCAAACCTTCTCGAGAGGCTGTGACCGAAAACTGTGTCCAGGGGGAGGAAAAGGAGAGCTCCAATGACTCCACCTCCGTCAGTGCCATCGCCTCGAACATGAGAGATGACGAAATCACGCAGGACGAGAACACCATCTCCACCTCCGCAGGCTACTCCAAAGACGAGAACACAAAGCACGCGTGCACCAAAAGTAGCACCAAGACCCCCAAAAGTGATGCTCATGCCAACGTGGAGCTAGTTGGCTCCACGGGTCCGAATGGGGAGGAAAAGCAGAACATTGTAGCACGCAAGATTGTGAAGATGACCAAGCAGCCGGCCAAAAAGAAGCCTCCTCCTTCTCGGGAAAAGAAAGTGACCAGGACAATCTTGGCCATTCTGTTGGCTTTCATCATCACCTGGGCCCCATACAACGTCATGGTGCTCATCAACACCTTCTGTGCACCCTGCATCCCCAACACGGTGTGGACAATTGGCTACTGGCTCTGTTACATCAACAGCACGATCAACCCCGCCTGCTACGCTCTTTGTAACGCCACCTTCAAGAAGACCTTCAAACACCTTCTCATGTGTCACTACAAGAACATAGGTGCCACCAGGTAAACCCTATTGGAAACGAAGGGAGGTGGCCAATGGGAGCTTGCAAAGAAGGAAAGGGAGACAGCTCCCAAAAGGTGAAACATTTCGGCCGTTGCCCTTCAGTGTTACCACAGAATGGGCCATGAGGGAGCCCAGCAATGACCCTTTATCATGCCTCGGCTCTAGATGGAAACATCTGCACCCGATGAACCTTGTCATTGTAGAAGCAACGAGAGAAGGAAAGAGGCGCTTTGCTATTGTAGATAGAAGGGACAATCTATGCTTTCTCGTATTCTCTTGAAGAAGGGCTTCTGGATCTACAATTTTATCCATCTCTGGCCAGAGGGAAAACGTTTTGTTTTGTTTTGTTTTGTCGCCCGTTTTTATTTGGCGGTGCTTCCGTGTGTCCACCTGAGGATGTAAAGTCACCAGGACAAGCTGCCCGAGAGACTTCAATCATAAAGAGTTAGTGACTAGAGATTGGGGAGGTGACTAAGAAAAAGAAACACTGTGCCCCGCTGGCCTCCTGAGGTTATTTCTACATTATCATTGTCCGTCTTATTCAGAGGATTACAATAGTATAAATGCCCTTTTTTAAAAAAACAAAACCTTTTCCTTTTCTCTCTTTAAAAAGGAAACCAACAAACACGAGATTACAGCATCCTTCCCTATTAATATTATGTTGTGTAAGTCCTTGTTCTACATTATCTATGTGAACATACTGTGGGACTATAGCTGAATCCAGCCCGGCACAGACCTGAAGATAGGCATGTCACACCTGCCACTGTGGTGTCTGCATTCTTTGGGGTACAAAAAACCAATAAGGATTTAGTTCACTTTTGAATCTGTATGTACAGTAGTCTCACCGATCTATTTTTCTCCTAAACTAACCTTTCATTTCCACAGCCTAGTCCACCTAAACCACGAAGATGCTTCAGAAACCAAAGCCATTTGTAAAATTGAAGATTTACCTAATTCAACCCTGGTCAATCTAGTTGGACAAAGTCTACTGAGACCAGATGAATTTTGAGATGGGGGAATTGAGGGTCAGGAGGATGCTCTGTTTCGACCTGAAGCTTCATGACCCTTGCACAAAAGGGTATCTTGTAAAACATGAACTCCTGGTCTTTGACAGCACAAAGAGGGTATGGCATTATTCACTGGGACTCTTAAACCAGATTGCAAACCCAAGTGGTTCTGATGACTTCTGGGGCTATCCGAAGAAGAGAAGACCATTTTGTCAATGCCTTGCAAAGAATGCCACATAATTTATCCAGTCAATGAGCTTGTCAAACTTCACCCGAGGACTCAGTCGAGGGGGTGGAGCTAAGACTCACTTTAAGACAGCGACTGAAACCACGTGTTCCGTATTCCTCAAATTGTCAATTCTCTTTAATATTATTTAGCTTCAAAATTCTCCTATCAATAGAATTATAGTCAGATCTCAGAGACAAATGTTATAGTGGGTAACAAAAGAGGCCATGAGAGCTCAGCAGAATCTAAATGAAGAATGTAGGTGGCTGTACCTGTACCATTCTTCACCATCCCCTGAGGCTGTCAAACAAGGTCTGAAACTATTACCCCAATGTTGGCTTTAGAGACAATCTTGGCAACGTAAAGATTTTGGAATGGCAATCTGAATAAGTAGAGGATTACGTTGACTCACATCAACCATGTCCAGCCCTCATCTTCCTATCTTATCTCTTATCATATTATTTATATTATTCCAACCAAATGTGCTGACGATAGCCCAATCCATCAACAACAGATTTATAAATGCCTTTTTTTTTATATTGCAGACTTTTGCACTTTAGATTAATGGACTCACTCTATCCTTTTCAGTTACACCGATGTGAGTTGCATGAGAAGTTGGTACCATTAGCCCTTAACACGTGATACAATTATTTTGTATGATTTGACTCATTGGTGACAGCTCAACAAATTAGCATTTTTTGTCATTTTAAAATCATAACAGAAACAACAACAACAACAAATTGCCAACACGATCTGTCCTTAACTCACTCTTTGTAGAAATACTTTGTTTAAATCACTTCAGCCTACAGAATTGGTTCAGGTGGATTATTTTATACTACACTGAGTTAAGGGCCATTTTTCCCAATCTTAAATCTGCATTTCGTTTTATCTGGTTTCTGTAAATCAACTCATCGATTCAACATCACGAACAGTGCGGGGTGGTTTGGTTTCTGTAAGCAACACTGCCGTGTGACCTGTTGTACTGTGTGCTCGTTACCTGTCCTAGATTGATGTCGATTCCACTTTGGTTTAGACGAGCCCTTTGGATGTAGGTCCTCTGGATTGGGGCTTTTCTTGTGTTTTCTCTCATCACCCAACTCCCTCAGGGAGCAAATGCCCTTTCACTTGTCATTGCCGCTGCACCCTTTCTGTCCTTCATCTGTTCTTGATCTTCACCCCCAGGAAGGAAAACCATCCAGGGTTCAAGAGAGGAACTAAAGAGAGATTGATACACCATGGGAATGTGGTCAACTGTTATCAGGAAACCAGAAAGGACTGTGAAATAGTAGATGTTTGGAAAGGACTGGGTGCTGTGTAGAAAGATTTTTCATAAACTGTTGCGGGGGCAGCTATGCCAATGGTTCTGAACGAGATACTATCTTGTCCCCCATGGTGGGGGTGAGGGGCATTTTGAAATGTGTGGGGACATTTTGACTTTTCACAACTGGGAAACAGATAGGAGTGTTGGCAACAATCGGTAAATGCAAAGGATGCTGCTAAGGGACCTACAGTGTGCAAGTCTGTACCACCCCACCCCCAGCTATCACTTTATCAGGCTCACTGTCAAAAGCAGTGAGGTTCAGAAACCTTGGTCTGTTTTAAGGGTTTTCTGGAGCTTGCCTCCCCCACATGTGGGGAAATAATCCTTCATCACTATCAGAATACCAATTCAAATAGTGTAATCCTTGGAAAAGGGATTGCTCACCAATTGTGTGTCAGAAACACTATCACTCGTTGAGTCTGGTGGATTTGTAGTTCATAGATTAGGAACACAGCGCACACACATCTGTCTGTCCAAACTGTCCAGACCAGCAGCACGTTACTTCCAATATCTCAACGATCAATTATAATGGCTACAGAATTCATGCCATCGACGTTACAGTGGTTGGCCATTGAAATGCTTCCACAGGATAGATTCAGTTCCTGGGGGAGCTGCGATATTGATATTTCCCTTTCAAACACATTATGAGTCCCTTTCACTAAACGCGAGGAGCAACGTGATTTTTCCCTTTGTTTTCACTGTAAAGGTGAATTTTGTTGTTCTCTCCTCGTAGCAATAATGTAAATATTCCAGAGTGGTGTTACAAGAGGAGGAGATGAGGATCCGGAAAGAGAAAGAAGGGCCCTTCCTTCGATCAGTTCATCATCAGTAAACACATGCCACCTCCTCCATGTCAGGACAACGTCAGCAACATAATGAGTCACACGGGCTGAGCTTTCCCACAGGCTCCTGCACGTGGTCCATTCCCGAAAGCTCTGCTCCTCAAGAGCTGACATCAGGAGAAATGGAGAGTTCAATGTGACAGCAACATGCACTTAAAAACATATCTCCACTTATTTTCTCCTGCTTAGTTCCTTGCTAGTTGCCTCCTGCCCCCCTTCCAAGAGTTTAATGATATTCCTTTCAGCAACCCCAGCACTGACTTTGCAAATAGATTTAGGACCCCTTCACCCCAAGCTGGATGACTCTGTGCAAAGTGTATTTTCAGCATGTATACATCGTACCATGCCTCTGAAACATGCTTCTTGTAAGAGGGTGCACGCCGCAGCATGTCCTGTGTGCCTATCTAGCGTCTCTTCCTGGAATATGCTGTATGCTTACTATACATAGCCTATAAATAAAAGTATTATGATGTACAATAGAAAGACATATTTCTGTATGCAAATAAATATATTATACACAAAACATCTTAAGGCGTCAGGTGTGTCATGTGTTGCTCCAAAGTGACAGGACTCAGCCCAGGGCCCTGAAGTCCATTATGACCCAGGGAGCCCACAGGGGCAGGTAGGAGTCCCCCGGGGGTGGGGGGTGGGGCAGCTCCGAGGCTGTAATGCTTTAGGGCAGCAGCCTGCCACGTCTTTCTCCCGTGGAACAGCCAGTGGCGTTGAACCATAGACTCTTTGGTTCCTGGCTAAGAGCTAACTCACTGTAACACCAGGGTGCCTAAGAAAACAGGCATAGGCTGTGTGTGCCTGATTTAAAAAAACCCATGGTTGTTTATGAAGAAAGACCTCTCAGCACTGCCAATACCCTGCCCATATGTGTGTGTGAGCACAGCTTTATAATCCCGAAGAACGCAGCACCGATTTCCATTCCCGCTTGGAGGAGAGAAGGAAGTCGGTGCCGGCTTCGCCCTGTGTGACGACGCCCAGGCTCCTCTTCTTCCCACTCCCTCCTCCCCGCTGAGACTCTGCCCACAGCTGTGTTGGCCTGCTGATTGCAGGAGGAGGCTGCACTCAACCCGTGCCCATCCAGCCTCACTCTCCTCCAAATTAGCTGATTTCTGTCAAATGAAAAACAATCAGACTGAGAGGAGAAAGGACGACCTTCAGAAACTGGTTTGGGTTTTTTTTTTGGTCTGGAAAATAAGATGGAAACCGTCCATGCTAGGCATTTTACTCCCCACTCTTTTCCATCTAGGCCCAGTGCACCTGCCTATACAGTACATGGAATAATAATAATAATAATAATGTGTATGAATTTCACAAAGAACTAAGAAAATGGACGCTTTCTTTTTTGGTGGGCTGTCTTGTCTCCTGAAACATTCGCTTCCTTCCCTGTTACCCAGTTAACTACCCAACATCTCCCCCTACCCCCCCCCCCCACCCACACACACACACCACCCCCAACACTTTCTTTGGCCCATCAGCAGACTACTATTGTTAGGTTTGTTGCTATTGGGCTTATTAGAATCCCAAACGATGCTTACATTTTAAGAGGAGATGCTTACAATCTGAATTTGCAAAAGATTCCTGTTACCACCTTCACATGCAATGAGAGAGAGATTTTTCCAGTGAATTCTCATCTTTATCAAATTTTATGAAAACTGAAATGGCTGTCCATTTCCAAAAATGGACCTAGTCTGAAGCAATCCAGGGAGGTAGCTGCTGTCCTCCAGCCGTCTCAGTCATTTCTGGGGGAAAGAGGAAGAAAAACGAGGTATGTTTTCATCAGTTCCATTGGTTTCACGTCATTCCAGTGAAGTGCTGTCAGTTCATTTTTGAGACTGTGAATTGGATCCCGTCTCGGGAATGGTCAAATGCTCTTCCCAATGGCATGGTTCACACATACGATCCATTGCCAGGCGTAAGTACGAAGTTCTCAACTCGTGTTCCTCCACTAAGAACGGAAGCAAAGAATCAGAACGTAAGTGGTGGGACCCACTTTTATTGAACAGCTCTGCTTTGGCTTCTAGAACAGGCACCACAGAAAGGAAATGGAAAGAAAGAAGATACCGACTTGCTTTATAAACCCCGGAGCTCATCTGAATCCTCAGTCTCCACCTTTCCCAGAAATGGTTATTGTGAGAGGTTTTGAAATGGGTGTTGTTGGGGATTTGGATGAAGGACTAACAATGAGTCAACTTTTTGATCCCAAGTCCACAACTCTTGAGTCGACTCTGACTCCCAGCAGCCCTGTGGGAGAGAGTACCACTGCCTCCACAGGACCTCCAACCACCAGCCTTTGCCAGACCCAGGCTGCCACGTCCTTGCTTCCACCGAGCAGCTGGGGTGTTTGAGCTGCCAACCTCTGGGTTTACCAGCCAAGCACGTGACCACCGTGCCATCAGGTGGCTTCTTTCAGATTTCAGAAATGCCCATTTGAAATCTCAATATCAGCTGGACTGCTGGTGGTAAGAAATACACAATGACTCACTGAAGGTGATTTTTTTCCACATTGTAAGCGGTTTCGCTCCTGTTCCGGTTTAGGAAGTGTGCCTTCAAGTTATGATGGTGTGTGTACTAGGGTGACCTTATAGTACACTGCACATCAGTGCCTCTCAAGCATTAGCTCTCAGTAGACCCACCTGGAAAACTTATGGAAACACAGATGGGACCCCACCACCAGACACTCTAATTCGCAGTCTGGACTGAAGGCTGCGAATGTATGTACCTGAACAAACCCCCGGGTCTTTCAACACGTGCCCACTTTGAGAACCACTCGTTTGTTTTTGTTTGTGTGTTCTTGTGGTGGTTCCTTACATATTTTATTTTGTTTTCAGTGAAGGTTTGCCCAGAAGTTTAGACTCTCATTCACCAATTTTTGCAAAAGTTACTTAGTGACGCTGGTTGTGGGCTTCACGATGTAAGAACAAGTCTCATCATTTCCATCCCATGGTTCCCTTTCCATTACTCTTGTTTCCCTGCCCTCTTACGCTTGCATCTTCAGTTTAAGTCACTGTTGACCTTTAGAGTGCGTCTGGGTGATCCCCAAAACGCACGCACTGTCACTGTCACTGAGCCCATCCAGATGCAGTGACCCTTTAGGACAGGGTAGACCTCACCGCTGTGAGTCTCTGAGACTGCCGCTCTTCGCTGTTTGAGTAGAAAGCCCTGCCTTTCCCCAGAGAAGCAGCTGATCCTTTCAAAGCGCGCTCGCCTCACAGGGAGCAGCCACCATGCCCCCGGGGGTCCCCCTGATGGAGGCTCATCATGATTTTTAGCCAGTTTGTTATGTGGCTACAAGGGGACCTTCCAGTACTAGTTTTGGTTCAGGATTGGTGTTTTGTTTTGCTTTTTAAGAACTGAGGATTCGTTTCTTCAGGTTTTTCTTATATTCTATCAGTGTCCATGTTTTGTGCCCCTGATTGAACATAAACGGACTTTTCAGGTCAAATGCACCTGTTCCCCAAGCACCGCAGTCATGAACAAGACATCTATTACAGATGTAAAAACTTACCACAGTCCAGAAAGTTTCTCTTAAGAAGTTAGTACTCACTTACAAATGGGCTTCTTATGTGTTCTCTCCTGGGAAACATTTGGTCTCGGCCTTAGTATCAGAGATTTGAATAACCATATTTATAAATTTACTAGAAGAATCCTTCACATGATGAAGTTTAAAGTGAACAAATATAATGGGTGCTTTATTTCTGGGTTGTATTTATAAGGTATAAGGAGGCTTCAAAAAATTGGAAAAACTCCATTATGTCTTAATTCCATTATTCCACATATTTTAAACACATTTTATATGATCCTATATGTCATATATATATATATATATATATTTGCAGATCATGTATGCGAACACATTCTTCTCATCTAAGATTAATTATTTTGTTGCTTAGAAATAACTGTCAAGTATTAGGTGTGTTTGCCTTAAAGAATTAGTGTATCAACCTCTCCTTATCACACAAACACATATAAACCACATATACTCAGGCACCCCCGCACACTTAGTCAGATTCATGCATACACATGTACATACAAATACACACAGATGTCCACATGCATGAGGGTGTGTATACACAAGTCTCACCTGGTCTATTTGAATTATGTCCAGCGGTACAATCTTTCTACGACGTCAAAAGGCATTCAGGATCTTGCTGGAAAAGATACTGAACTCTCACAGATGAGAAATATTCTCACCAACCTCGTTTTCTAAAATTAGTCTTTTATTTGAACAGAATTATCTACTCAATACATAAATATGCTTTAGACACCCCAGCCATTTAGAGAATCAAGGTCTCGTCCAATTAAACAAAGGTCAATGTCGGGCAAGGAAGTTTGCTGAAGCAGGGATAAATGAAGAACTCTACTGTCCTTTCCATGTGCGGTGGTGAATCGGCCTACAGCTGTCCGGACCTTAGGAGTCTGAGTGCTCCATCTGCCGCTGACAGCATTCTAGCCATCGGAAGTCATCTGGGCTGTGTATGCCCAAGGCCACCCAGGGTCATGATGCAAGAATCCATCATCACTCCTGGAAGATGCATTGCTAAGAACACACCCTCCTGAGGGGTGCCCAACACACAACCTCACACAATACCATACGGCAGCCCTGGAGAGTGGAGAGAAGAAGAAGTGGGGGAGACTTCTCAGTACCCCATTCAATCTGATGCCATGGCCTCCTCTGGGACTCCCAGCGATCCTACAGGACAGAGCCACACTGTCTGTGCCTTGGGTTTCCAAGGCTGTGATCTTAATGGGAGCAGACTGCCAGGGCTTTTCTTCTGTGTAGCAGCTAATCCTTCCAACCACTGACCTCTCTGTTAGCAGCCGAGTACCAGGCCCCTGTGCCACCCAGTGTCCACAAATCTGCCCGACTTTCTTTTAGATGTATAGTCATTTACCCGGGACTGTAGAAAGCTTGCCACTGCTAATTACTTTTGAATATCTAACAGATGACCAATTGGTCACATAGTCTGTTACCTAGAATTGATAAACAAGGAATTAGTTCTGGTGCTCATTCAGGTATCTGGAATGAATAAACAATTAGTAATTTCCCACCAACACAGCATAGCATCTGTCTTCCATCTAGCAAATACATTCAGACGACGATTCCTGAGTCTCTGTGTTTGTGTCACACCATAAAGAAACTACAAGCATCATTTACAGCACTCCTAGGGGGAAGTGGGGGACACATTGGGCTGCTAACTACAGTGTCAGTGCTTTAAACCTCCTGGCTGCTCCTGGGGAGGAAGAAAAGGCTGTCTATGCACAGTAAGATTTATAGCCTCAGAAATCCTCTGAAGCAGTTCGACTCTGCCTGTAGGGTGACTCTGGGTCAGAATCAACTGCATGGCAGCAGATGTCTTTATTACTGCTTGGGTTTGGCTTTTAGGAAGAGGGGCAACTTAATTTATGTAGAAAATATGAACCTGAACAAGGTTGCATATAAATAGGAACAAAAGAAAACAGGGCATGAAATTAAGACAGAAGGACCCAATGAGTAACCTTAACAGAAAGAAAAAT